TTTTTTTTTTTTTTTTTCCTGTTTCTGACAGAAATGGTTTAGTTAAATTGTATTTTTGGTGCAGGACATCACAGACTGTCCTGGCCCCAAGCATGCCAAAACAGAAACTAGCTTTTAACGTTGGCCATGAAAAATACAGATTATCCTGGAACAAGATCAGTGTCTCGTCCAACAGTGTGAGAGCAGAGCCTAGTAAAAAACATTTGCATTATCTGCTCTTTACTTCATTAGTCTTTACTTTCCTACCAACTTTTATATTCATTTTTGAAATGTTTGTATGTTGGACTGGGGAGTCTGAGTAACAAACTGTAGAAAACTTTATATTTTTTTCAACTAATTCCTTGTAAAATGACATTATGTGTCATTTAACTGTCTGGTATGTTTTCAAGCCTTTCCTTTGATGAAATTAGTCAGAAATAAATGCAAGAAAGGAAGTCTTTCTGTATGCTATACTGCGATTTATCAGACAAGCTTTCTGATATACAAGCCAGGTCACTTCCATGCCTGAAAGTTTATTCCTTTTGCATATTTGATGATTTAATAAGGGGAATTCTCCCTTGTCATAAACCTCTTTTTAAACCTGGTTTAACAAGAGGCATTCTCCCTTCTCATAAGCCTCCTCTTGCTTCTGTCTGCTGCTAGTGGAGGATATATAGTTACACAGGCTGCCTTTGCGTGGCACGTGTGAGGTAGTGGGTAGAAATTGTATTTTCCTGCAGAACAAGCTGCCTTCTAAAGGGTGCATTTAAGTCAAATTACTGTATTCCAGCAACAGCACTGATCTGTCGGTCTGCGGATAAACAGGAGAATTCTGGCCATTGGCATAATTTGGAAGATTAGAACCCAAAGCAAACCTGCATGTTTTATTTATCTAAACCTGGGCCTTTTGTGTTCCTGTCACACTTTCTTTCAGGAAGCTATTAATAGTATAATGTCAGCAAAGTCTCCCTCCCAGGGCAAGGCCATCAGGCCCGCACCTGCCTTTAGTATGTACACAGGGCTACACGCTGCAGATAAGAGCAGAAATCAGTTTAGTCACTTGTTCTGCTTTTATAAAAGCCTCTCTTGAAGCTTTACGATCAGGCAAGCCTGGAGCTGGACCCCGATCAACCACGAAGGGGATGGAGGAAAGGGAGAAAGGATGAGGTCAGACCTTTAGCATCTCTGCTTCCTCACTCCCCCGCCCTCCTGCCCCCATTTTGTGTATTGGCTAAAACCTTGTCCTCAGAATGACAGAGATTAGGACATGAGCAGACACTCTTAGCATAGCACAGTGGTAAAAACTAGCTTTGAGGAATGCAGGTTTACAAAAGAATCAGTAACTTGTGCTGAAAGAAGAGTTTAATCTCTCGTGATAATCACTGCAGTTAAGTCTTAAGTTTCTAATTACTGCAAAGCTACCCAAGAGGTGTTATCGCTGTTGCTTCTCACATTCTTCATTTGATCAAGTAAGGGTATTTTTTTAAGTATTTTATTCCTTTTCCTGCAATCAGTACCAGAGATGAGAGAACCTGCAGGAGTGGGGCAGCCTACACCGCTCCTGTGCTCTGAGTTGGCTGGTGAGAGCGGAGGGGCTTTCCTGCTGACCCTTCTCCTCGAGGGGCAGAGAGCAGCCGCCCGGCTGCACACCCCCCCTTACAACACCAAGGTCTTAGTAACAGGAGATCTTTTACAGTTAAACTGCATCTTTTCTGTCCAGCACATTCAGTCATTTAAAATATATTCAACTATTCTTCCAATATTATTTGTTCTTGCATTGGTGTCACCTGTTGTGCTAACGAAGAAATAATTTTTAGAGCTGTGCTAATTTGGAGCATACTAATCAGTTTCTGACAAAACAGCTCAGCAGTTTCACTGCATTTCCTTGATACCGAGCACTAATGAAGAAAACAAAATCAGTTGAAACTTTTTATAAACTAATTATTCTGCCTCTGATTCCTCTCCTGATAGAAGGGCTGTAGGGAAGCTTCGTGACAAATGACCTGGTAAATGCTCGCTTTAAAAACAATACGTAATTCTGTGCTGCTGTGGGTTTCGAAGTGGATATTGTCTCTTCATTCGCAACAGCTCCACCACGGCAGTACCACTCGCCTGGAACACTTCTGAGTGGTGCTGCACAGCTAAAACACATATTAGTCTGGTTATGCATACCAGAGGGCTGCTCTGACCTGACCGGGGAGAGGGAGAAGGGACATTTGGCATGAAACGATTTTAACTTTTACAAAATTCTTTCTAGTTTCTAAGAAAAACGTTGCTTTTATCTTCACTGTTACTTTCCACTGCTATCCCAAAGTGCATCACTGTAAGCTATCACAGGGTGTGAGTTAAAGAAGAGCTCGGGAGTATTTGACGTCACACAGTAATGGCGGGCTGATAAGCAGCCAAAGATAGAAGTGTCCAAAAGAGAAGAAAACAAGTGAGTAATTCATTTTTCCACTGAATATCTGGGTCATGGGATTGTTTTATTTCCGGGCTCAAAATCAATGCAACTTTCATGACAGAGTTTTAATACTATAAAGGCCAGAAGAGCTGTTTAAGAGCCGTTTCATTCCAGGTCCCAAAGGAGGTGGTTTTGCAATTGGTTTACGCTGCTTGGACTCCCCACCGGCACGGAAAGGGGCGATCCCTCTCTCACCCACCCCTCGCTCAGGTTTCTGTCTCTCCTCCTGTGTGTTCCCCCACCAAAATTTCCTCCCCAGGACCAGTTTGCGGTCTCTGGACCAGCGCGCTGACCCGATCGCTGAGCACGCAGAGGAGTACCAGAGGTGTCTGGTGGGATTCCCCCCTCGCAGCCCAGCCCCAGGTGGCCTGGGGCTTCCAGAGTGCTGGAGACGTGGGTGAGCCCGCGGGCTGCCCCAGGCGGGAGGGAAAAGCCAGCCGAGATAGGTATTTTCTCGACCTTTCTAGCTTTCCCTAGACGATTTACTTACCCTGCCACTGATTTTACCTTTCCCACCCTAACAAGGCGTCCTGACTGTTGGAAATAAGTAGAAATCTTTTAATTGACTTCTAATACTAGGACCATAGCTCTGGTATTACACTGTTTTCTGTCAAGGTGAGCTTGTGAAGGGAAACATCCATCTGTAAAATTGTATTTTGGAGCCCAATTTAAGCAAATGTTGCAGTTTAGTCAAGAGATTGCCTAGCTTTACCTTCACACTTCCCCTGGTTCACTGCTCAGTTAGGATTTCCAGGACAGCTCGGTATGGGACACTGCTAAGCCAGTGCTGTGAAAGTTTCTCTCTAGAATTCTAGGATCTTCAGCTGGCACACACTAATGCCTCTCTTCTCAAAAATGTATTTTAAAGCGCAGCTGTCAACAACTCCATAAGATGCATGCTGCTGTCTCCTAGAAGATGCTTACTTAAGAAAAAAACCCAAGTGAATGAGAAGGGACGATAAAAAGAAAACTGCAGCCAGTGGCAAGGTAAGAATTATTACATGTTTGGTGTATCCATGATGTTTGTTGCATCCCTGATGTTTGTTGCTGGGAGAGAAAAGCACTGGAGTCTCATTTTACCTGAACTTGAAAAATCCTTCACATCTAAGAGTTACCGTACTGGTGACTGTCTCCAGTCCTGTTTCTAATTACCAATTAGAAATTAACTTTCACTGGCTAGTGGGCTAATAATGTTAGTTTTTAAATACAGTGCTCAGGATTAAATTCTGTGATAAAATTATCCTATTTGTACTAGATCTAGTAATATACTAACCGATAGGAAACTAGCCTTCTTAAAAATAAAAAAAAAATCAAACCCTAAGCAAACAGAAAAACCCCAAAGCCCCCAACATTTCTGTC